TGCCTGAAGCACCTCCATTGAACTCCTTTGTTTACTTCTGTAACATAATGACATCACTATGTAACACTTGCACTTCTATTGGCTAGTGTTCCAACACATCGTCGTGATAGACTAAGGGGCAGGACATCTCTAAGCGGTTGACCAATCACAACAAAGCCAGCCAGCTAACCAATCAGAGCAGACTGGTCTCTGGTTTCAGACAGAGGGTGAAAAGAGGTGCTGCAGCACAGGCAGTATGAGAAAAATAAAGAGCTTTTTGAACATTAAAGCATGGAGACATGTCCCAGTTGAGACACTATATACTGATGCGTATCTGACTTTATATTAAAATGAGCATAATATGCAATTGATTACTGTATTCAAACAGTGTTAGTACTTGACATACTAACAGTTTTTTTATGACATTCTTGGTTTGATCTGATTTATTTTGATCACTTCTCGTTGTCTCTTACTTCACTGCAGGTCTGATTCCTTCTGACAAAGAGAGTGCCAGCTATCCGCTCCGCAAACGAGGAGGAGGCAATGCTGTGGTAATAGCAGTGGGTGGGGCCCCAGAGGCCCTCGATGCCCACCCTGGGACCTACAATGTACTCTTGGCTCAAAAGAAAGGCTTCATCAAAATGGCGATGGTACACGGGTAAGAGCAGAGAGCCCTGGGCCAAGAGGAACGTTTTCTGTTAATAGAGCTGATTCTCCGAAAGGTTTTATGGCCTGTGAGAGGATTTGTCCATCTACTCCTTTGAGGTTTGTTGCATAACGGGCGTGGCCTCTTGAAACAGAGGCTTATTCAAGCTCCTCACATGGAATTTCTTGGGAAAGCACATAGACTGTTATGAAATCAATTCAGTTATTGAACGATAAACAGAAGTAAAAAGTAATACAATTAGTGAAATTATTTTACCAGTAAATCATTCTTTTTTTTCAGTGCTCATCTGGTGCCAGTCTTCTCTTTTGGAGAAAATGAACTGTTTGATCAAGTGGAAAACAAAAGAGGAACCTGGCTTCGATGGACACAGGAGCGGCTGCAAAGCATCATGGGTATCTCCCTGCCTCTCTTCCATGCACGTGGCATATTCCAGTACTCCTTTGGTCTCATGCCCTACAGGAGACCCATCCATACAGTGGGTGAGTATACTTTGCAGATTAGTGCAGTACACACAGCAGGATCCAGGACCCAGTTAGCTTCCCTTTGCACTACAGTAGTCTATGGAGTCTGTGTCATATGTTTTTTCCAACATCGACTTTGTTTTGCCACATTTTGAGTGTGAATGCTGAAGGTGAGAGACCCAAAACAGGCAATAGCACGCTGTCAATCTCCAACCACTTTCTTTCTCACTGACAGACTTTGCCACTTTCTCTTGATAAGGTCACATTTGTCACAAATCAAAAATAACCAAAATCAAACAATTTTAGTGGACGTACGTTGACGGTGCAGAATTGCCTCAATACTTACCAAATCTGTACAAAACATGGTCCCGATAAGTCACTTAAACACAAAACCATTGCAAAAGAGGGTCAAGGTTAACCTGTAATTAAAGCATGTATTGCATTTGGCTTTACCTGGCAGGAACAAATCGAACCGCGAGTTGATTTTGGCAGAATCATCATGTTGCTGGGTTGGGAAATACATTTGGAGCGAACGTGGTTAATACTGAGTCAACAAAGTGTAATCGAAGTGTAATCGAAGACCAGACTGCTTTTTTGTAAAGTACACTGACTCTGTTTTTTCTCCTTCCTGCAGTTGGAAGGCCCATTCAGGTTCAAAGGAACGAGAAGCCAGCTACCGAGGAACTGGATGCCCTCCACCAGCTCTACATGGACGAACTCAGCAAGCTGTTTGACGAGCACAAAGAAAACTACGGTGTGGACAAGGACACACAACTGAATTTTGTCTGAACTGGACTGATATTGGAGTGAATTTAAATGTATATTTATTTTTAAAGATGAGGTAGACATGAGTTTACTCTCAATTGGCCTGTAAATTAAAGATAAATCGGCTTTGGTTGGTTCTACAAGAAGACATACTGCTGTATTCGTTAATATGAGGGAGGACTCAACAACCCTATACAAATGGAAAAGTGAAATAGAAATGCTTGTGTCTTCATAACTGAGACCTGGCTGTTCATTCAGATGATTTCAGGGCAGTGTGGGAAAGGGTTGGGTGACACAAGTCTTCCTCACCACCTCCCAGTGGGGGCTTCTGTCTGGGTTCTGGATTTTGTGGAAGACTTTCTAATACAGGGTCATAATGTCAATTAGGGTTGCAACATTTTTTAAAGAAACAGTCATTAATCTTTTGCGGATTTTGTATCTATCCAAGTGCTATAAAAAGGGAAACACCACTAAACTGAATTTCGTTATATATTTTTGTTTTACATATTATGCCCTTGAAACATTTAAGAAATAATTTAACATTAGAGCGTTGTAAAGTAATTTAGTGCATTTACACAAGACCAATTTTTGTACTTGAGCATTTTTATTTCTGTGTCCTTATGTTTGGCCAAATATTGTACTTTCTAATGCACGACATTTATGTTTGAGCTAAAGTTACTAGTTACGTTTCAGATTTTGATTTAAAATTAGAAAGTCTTTTGAAATTAAACCTGAGATTCCCAATATTTTTGGACCGAAAACAGTTGTGGTCCTTTGAAACATGAAACACGTCTTTGGGTTGTAAGCAGTTCCATCAAGAGACATTTCACTGATTGTTTTATTCAATAACCGTTTGTGGCCAAATACAAATTAAACCTATCATCATGCCTTTAATGACAGATGTCTCTGTGTGTGTGTGTGTGTGTGTGTGTGTGTGTGTGTGCGTGCGTGCGTGCGTGCGTGTGCAAGTATACATTTCAATAATCTCTTCAAACCTTGGACTTCACGCTTGCCGTGTGTGTTTCTGAAGATGTGAGGGAGCTGCGCCTCAAGCTCTGTGTGTGTGAACTCTATTCCAAAGCCTTCATCAAACCGTGGACATATATGAAATGGTAGTTTGGCTTTCATAAGGCCATCAAATGTTCTTGGTATTTTTTGCATAGCCTGTACTGTTGCTACTATAGATGCGTACATTGTCTTACTTTGAAAAACAAGAAGCAATAACAACACAACAGCATGAACATGTACTGCATTAGTTTGGATAGAAAACACAAAGGTTAAAGACAATTCAAAGATAAACAGAAATGTGTGTAGCAGAACTAGCCTGGCAGGGATTCTGGGAAAAAGTTAGGAAAAGGCTAGAAAAACTCAAAATAACCCATCGTAAAACCACCATTTGTTGTTTTATATTTTGCGGTTTGTATAGATTAAAATAGGATTTTATTTTATTTTAGAGCTTCAGCTGGTAAAAAAAGGTAAAGGCAAGCTAGGCTACCCATCTTCTGCCTCAACCTTCTGCATGCATATTTTCCAAAATGTTGAGCCATTCCTTTTCCTATTTTAGTACCTAATTTATTTCCTGTTTTTAAATTAAAATATGGTTATGACCGGTGCATAAGATGTGCATTCCTATCAAACATAATGCAAATTGAGCTGTGCACAAACTAGTCTGATGTTATCCAACATGCTCAAAGATCATGAATACGTGTCTCATTTATTGTTTTATTAGTTCTAAATTCCACATTAAAAGTTGAGTGCCCGGTTTTAGATCATGTTCCCAAATGATAAGACTGTCTGTGACATTTGGTCGACACTTTTTATCTCAGATGGCAGGGTTCTGGTATTTCCAAATGAAAGGACAGATTGGACAATGCCCTGATGCTTTCAACTCAGTCTGGACAAGGTTAGTGTGAGTGTGTGTGTGTTGAGCTGATTAAAATGCTGACTAAAAGAAAAATACTTACTGTGATGCAAGAGAGACGAATAATTGGAAACTTCGGGACATTTTTAGGAAGGGAAAACACCAGTACAAGGATGATGCAGTGAGTATGTGGTGGTGTGTTAGGACAAGACCGGCCAACCTGTAATGGAACAAAAAAACATTTAATGGAGTAAACACACTTTCTGATTCAAGACAGGTGTCGGCCTAAAGTGCTGTGATTGGATCAGGCCCTCCCTACATCCATGACCTGGTTAAATCATAAAACCCATCAGTTCCCACTAGAAATTGGTCAATAAAATACAAATAAAAACCTTCTCACTTCGGTATGTAGCATTTTCAGTAGCACTCTCAATGGTCTGGCTAATTAAAAGCTAATGTAACTGCAGATTGCTGTTTTGACTTTGTACCTTCATAGTTGACTGCACTTATTGTAAGTAGCTTTGAATAAATCATCAGCTAAATGAAATGTAATTTATTGTAATATTCCTGTCTTTGATACCAACTGTATCAAAAGCTGATCCCCTATTGACAATCGTTATCAGAAGAGACCTATTTGTTTCATATACCCCAACAGCTCATATCCTGCAGAGCTGTAATCATAACATCACAACAAACAATGTTAAACACAGTGACATACAAATCATAGTAGTGGACATAATGACAGGAAAACATAGACAACACAATGATTAATGCTGCATGCTCTGTATAATAGTAAGACACTAAAGTATTCATGTGTCACATTGGGGTCTTCAGACAAAACGGCTTCACAGTTGAACATTGTTCGGGCTCAGATTCCTCTTGGAGTGGAGTGTGTTACTGTAGGTTACATTCACAACATTATCGACCTTCTTTGAAGACAGTGTTCAAGGTACAAAACAATATAGGTTCCTGTGGGTCACATCTTATCTTGGCTTTTTCTTAAAGGAAAACAAAACACTGACTGCCTGAGAATATCCATACGTACCATATTTACAACTGTGGCGTGATATGGGGAAGGAATCTTGCATGGTAATAAAGTCGTATAGATAATTTGGTATCTTTTCTTCAGATACAGAATGCAATACACAGCAGGAATCATATAAGAACATGGAACACTGAAAAACAGGTGAAATTATTGAGGTATTGCATAATACAAAAATAATGTTTGTGCGTAGACTAAACTAAAATATACTTGAATGGAACACTTTGATTCATGACATCTGGACCATAATGGACTTTATAAGAACAATCAATGTCAATATAGCAATTAGAACCAGATCAAACTGAAAATAAAGCATAAGGGATATTAGAGGACTGTAAATGCATGATTATGTAACTGAAGTTTAAATGGGTGGTTCATTTCTCAACTTTTATCTCATGTCAAGGACTGTATGAATCATTTCAGCCAAAATCAGTTCTGATTCTTGGGCCTGATCCCACTGGACATGTGCTATCAGTTCTACTTTTTGGGATGAACTTTATTTGATATAAAGTGCAAATATTTCCTCAGTAAACACTGGGTTTGATATTGAATTTGATAAGGTTATAGAGGACAAGGTCAGTGATCTGGGAATGTATTGTGGTGTTAAATTGATACCAGTTTGAGTCAGAATCACTTCTGTTTGTCAAATTCCAGTATGAGTTGATCCAGCAAATAAACATTGATTCATTAAATCAATGACAATTGTCATGAGCAGTTTCATGAAGGAACTATTTTCTTTTTCACTGTGCAGAAAGTTAGCTAAATACTGGTTGGGTATTTACTGACATATTTTATGTCGCGGAACATTTTGAGTTAACCAGAAGTGCTGAAATGCTAACTCAGTTGTGTTTTTTAGGACTCATTCCCGCACCACTATATAACTCTTGACCTCTTTAGCTGTTTGCCAGCAGCTGTACATCATTTTTCTGTCCACCTTCAGCCGGTCCTGGCGGGTGAATTTCTGTGCCATGCCAGCTGGCAGCCTGTCAGAAGCCTCGGGACTTACCTGGTAGTTTGAACTTTTCACAACTGAACCCACAGCTGCCCACACTGAAGTCACGTTCAGTGCAACAAGTGCAACATCTCTGTAACAATATTTAGGGCTGTGCAAACATGTTTTGTAAGGCATTCAATAGGAACACAATAAGAAACTTCTAGCAGTATGGCACTTCTCAAAAAGACGCAACACAACACAAAGAATGATAATGAGAACATTACCAATCTGAAGTGGGTGTTTTGATCCCATCCCCTGCCGTTAACATGTCGATTTGTTCTCAGGCAAAATACTTGACCCCAAACTGCTCCCGATGGCCGACGGTGTGGGAATGTCTGTGAATGTCAGTCTCCCTGAGGTGCCCCCTTGTTTGGTCTCTGTATGAATGTATGTTAACGGGTGAATGCTGACTAAAATGTAAAAGTAAAAGTAAATGGGCTTTGAAAGGTTGCAAATAATGGAAACATGCTATTGAATTGCTGTACATTTACCACTAACATTAGTAGCATTATAAATCACCATGTCCTCACGACATTTACGACATGTTTTATGTTGTAAAATAACAAGGAAAGGAAAACGTTTAGGAAAAAACAAACATTTTTGAAATCCCCACTCCTCCCATCTCCACCTGTGAGGAGGTGAGGCAGGGTCAATGGTCAAATGGTCAAATCCTGCTCCATGTTGCTCCCAGCTGACCCACGTGACTGCCCCAATAAATACAGACAGCAGCAGCACTGCCCCCCCACGCATCCCGTCCAGACGTCTTGACATTAGGCTGCTATATTATATTATTAATCCACCCAGACCCGGCTCCAGGCTCCTCCCCCGCTCGTTAAAGGCCGGCTCTACGCGTCGGGGAGCCGCAGTCGCAGGCAGCCGTGTCCGAGGAGCTGTAGGCTGGATTTATGATCCTGACAGCCCGCAAGCCAACATCTGAGCGTTCCTCTCTCAGCACCCCCTCTCCATCCTGAAGCTCAGCTATGAAGACCATCCTCGCTGCGTACTCTGGCGCCCTCAAAGGTAAGAGCTCTGGAGAAGTGAACTGACTTACGGAAAGCAGACACACAGTCCTGTGAGGGTGAGAGACACACATGTCCAAAATGCACTACCATAACACTGCATGTGAT